TCTTATGAGCATCAAGTCCAAGAAATGGTAACCAGCTATAAGATCTAATGTTACCCGGTGAAGTCTTAAGCAAATTTCTTGGAGTTATTTCATATCCCTAAGAAAACCATAATTAGTTATGAATTAGCCTTTAAGGGATGGAAACTTGTGAAAATAAAAGTTTAGTGGGAGCGTTATGTTTTTCCATAAGGTATGTATGACATACACATCATAAGCTCGATATTCCTACTTCAAACATCCATGGGCAGTTGAGTAGAATTTCTTATAGGTAAAAACAAATACGCACTAGATGTTGAATCTATTGGATAGATTAAAAGGAGTTACTAGGTCTGTATATAAGGGCAAGTTATTCGTAGATTCAATGTTGTTGATCTAAATACTTACCCGCACTCTGATGGTCTAAGTCTTTTGAAGACTTGATATATCTCAACGTAGGGAATGCATAAGAATCGTTCATTAGGTAACTACTTTTGGACCTATCATGAATATCATGATAAAGACCGAAAAAATTCTACTCTAAATGTTACGAGTAGATAACATGCTAAGTTAGTGACTATCACTGCATAGCAAAAGGAGCGTTCTTAAGGTATTATGAGGTACCATCCAATGATGGTGCTATATGAAATGAAGAAATCATCCTGTATGATTTCCACATACGTATAGTATACACATTGCAGAAAGTTACATATTTTGAATAGTAGTAAAGTAAGCTAAAAGAGCTTGATGACACTACAAAAGTTCAACTATAGAACATAAAAGCTTTTGAAGCAACTGAGAAAGGTGTTTGGATCGAGAGCTATGAGCTTAATATGGTTCTTAGTATGAAGATACCATCCATTGTAATGACAATGATGGATTGTTGCACACCAATGAACTGTCACCCAACATCCACACAATCACTCTTCCATTTCCCAAAATCAAATCATATCTCTCCCGGATCCCAAATGCAAAAGACTTAACAACCATCATAAAGCCATCCCCATCTCATCCACCTCAAATACTCAACCTCAAAACGAACTAGCAAGTCATGATAACCAGGACCGCCAGAAACCATGAGTTGCCAATCCTAGAACTGCCAGGGTTTGGGCAACTCAAGTGCAGTTGATGTCCTCAAAAACATTACCACCTCACACCATCCTTCACTCATCTTCCTCTCTGAAACACATGCTCTACCCCCCCATGTATCCATGATGTCAAAACAACCATTAAATTCGACCATGCCTTCTCTATTGACCCATCTGATAGAAGCGGAGGCCTTTCTCTCCTCTGGCGACCTCCCCTCACTGCCCAAATTCAAAGCTCCTCCCACTTCCACATTGACGCCCATATCTCCCACTCATCCCATGGGGAATGCCGCATTACTGGGTTTTACGGCTGACCAGAATGCCATCTCCGCCATGAATCTTGTAGCTTCACTTTATGCTTGCTTTGGAGGACTCTCTCCCATGGATTTGCTTTGGGGAATTCAATTAAATCCTTCATCAAACTGGAAAGATAAGATAGCTTCCCCAACCTGCTAACTTAATCTATGACTTTCAACAAGCTCTCTTCATTGTCGGCCTCAAAGATATCACAATGTCAGGCTCTCTTATGTACCACTTGGTCTAATGCACAAGAGCACATCATATTGCACCCTGGTTGGAAAGATTTACGGCCACTAAAGCCTGGCTCTAGAAAATCAGCAATGCTTCCGGTCAGGTGCTCGATATCACTTCCAGTGACCACCTACCAATCCTCCTCGAAGTTAAGTCTTGGCAACCTAGGCTTTGCAAACCCATCACCCGGTATGAGAGCCATTGGTCCAGCGAACGTGAATGGAGAGAGATCATTATGGATGTTAGGGCTTCCCCAGGTCTCTTAGTCCCCAACAAACTCTCCCGTTGTAGGGAGAAACTCTTTGCATTGGGAACCGAACTCTGCGAGCAACACAACATCAGAATTTAAGAATGCAAAGCCGAACTCTAGCAACTTCTTCGTTCCTCCAATTCCCCCAACCCATATCGCATCCGCCAACTCAATTCTCGACTCCTAACTTTCCTTTGCCATTGCGAAACGCTCTGGAAACAAAGATCCAAATCATATTGGATTAAGAATGGAGATAAGAACACCAAATACTTCCACCGTGTGGCTTCCACTCGGCATTAAAAAACCTAATTCACAAGCTTAAAGATGTCAATAAGGATTGGACTACATGGGGCAAATGCATCGAATAGGTCATCCACCAATATTTTGTAAATATTTTCCACTCTAGTTTCCCCTCTAAACCCCTCCCACCCTCCCTCTAACCAAACCAAACCATTCAAGAACAGAATACCCTCCTTACCCGCCATCACTCACCCAATGAAATCAAAGCCACACTCTTCAGTATGCATCTAGACTGTCATTGGTGATGAAGTTGCCTTTGCTACTCTTGTCTCAATACTAGCTTCTTACCTCGCCACCTTAATGACACTGCTATTGTCCTCATCCCAAAAAAGAAGGTTCCTAAATCAATGGGCGACCAACGTCCAATTTATCTATGCCACGTTCTCTACAATATAATGAAAAAGGCAATTTCCAACCGTCTCAACCAAGTCCTTCCTTCTATCATTTCTCCATCTTTGGGTGCCTTTATAAAAAAATCGCCATATCCAAGATAACACAGTGATTGCCTTTGAAATTATGCACTAGCTTAAGGGTAAACATCTAGGGGTAGAGGCTTAAGCATCCCTCGAAACTAATGTAAGCAAAGCTTTTGATAGAGTGGAATGGCCTCATCATCCACCTCCTTCATCCACCTCATCATGTTGTGCATTTCTACCTCCACCCTGCATATCCAACATGACGGCAAAACTGTTACAACCATCACCCCTCACCGTGGAATCCGCCATGGCGATCCTCTTTCACCATTTCTTTTCATCATTTCTGCAAAAGCCCTCTCACAAATGCTCAATCATAGCCTCCACCAAGATCTTATTCATGGTATTTGCACCCCTACTGCCCCAACTATCTCTCACCTTATGTGCAAATGATTGCATACTCTATTTCAATGCCACACCTGAGGAAGTCCAACAATCACAAACCATCCTTAATGCCTACACATCCATCTCGGGACAAATAATAAACTTTAACAAGTTCGCTATTTTCTTCTCTCACAATACAAGCCCACTACTTCGCACTTCCATTTGCTCTACTCTCCATGCCAACGAGGTTGACAATGTTGGAAATTACCTTGGACTACCCTCTCTCATTGGCCGCAAGGAGACTAAAATATTTGCAAACCTTAAAGAGAAGTTCGGTGCCAAGGTCCTCTCTTGAAAGAATAGATTCCTTTCTCGAGCCGGCAAAGAGATCATGATCAAAGTCGTCCTTTCCTTCATCCCTTCATATGCCATGCAACTTTTCCTCCTCCCCAAATCCATTATTGATGACCTCCACCGTACCCTTTCTAACTTTTGGTGGTCCAATGGCAAATCAAATGATAAAGGGATTCATTGGTGGCGTTGGGATTGTCTTTGCACCCACTAACTAGAAGGATGACTCGAATTCCAAAATCTACACCATTATAACATACCTCTGCTTGGAAAAATGGCATGGAAATTCCTCCAACAACCTGAAGCTTTGGTGTCCAAAATCATCAAAGCCAGATATTTTCCTAACACTTCTTTGTTTGATTGTCCTTTTCATAGGTCCCCCAGCTTGATTTGGCGTAGCATACAGGAATCCATCCCACTCCTTAAATCTGGCACCTCTTGGCGAATTGGAAACAGTTTCTCTGTTCATGTTTGGAAAGACCCATGGATTCCCCATTTACACCAACCTCTCCCAACCAAAGACTGTCAACATCAGGATCTTCGTGTTGCTGCTTTCATCTTTAATGGCTCCTGGGATTTTTAGCTATTTATGCAGTTTTCAATGACCAGGACATCATAGAAAAACATTAGATTCACCTCCCCGCAACCCCTGTCCGCGACACCCCTTTTTGGCACCTAACCTCAAACAGCATTACTCTGTAAAATCTGCATACCGTGCACTCCTGCCAGCCATGGACACTGCAAACACACTCCCTCAATAGTTGAACATCCCCCTCCCCACTGACAAATGGAAGAAATTCTGGGCCGTCAAGCCTTTCCCCAGAGTTGAACATACGTTATGGCGCGCCATCAACAACATACTCCCCACTTGTGATCGACTTATTAGTGGATGCTAACCCCCTCTGTCCATTCTGTAAGTTGCTGCCAGAGTCCACGTATAATCTCTTCGTTGATTGCGTATTTTCTCAGGCAGTTTGGCCTTCATCTTCTTTCAGATGGTTCAACCCAACGAGTTCATCTTTTTCTGAATGGATTTCTCGCGCACTCCCACTGTTCAATACCAGCAATCTGGAAAGCTTGCAATGATATAATATGGCGTCATCAGTCTCCATCGCCCACATCCTCGTGGCATGCAGCTTGGTATCTCTTCTTTGAGTGGCAAAATGCAACAACCGTCAACCCAGACCAATCTCTTGGTCCCCGTTCATGGACAAAACCTCCACTGGATTGGGTAAAATTGAAAGTTGATGCTTTGGTAGGCCTCCCTGGCAATCGTATCGGAGTGGGTTGGATTGTTCGCGACCATCATGGTACATTTCTTGCTACAAAAAATATCACCATTTCATCCTACACTCACCTAACGAAGCAGAGGTATTGGCAATCAAAGAAGCTCTTAGCAGGATCAAAGAGATTGCTTGGCCAAAGATCATTATCGAATAAGACTGTCTTGCAATCATCGAAGCCCTTCAACAACCGGTTGTCGATGATATTTTTCCTTTATCTAATATTCTCATAGATTTTAAATATCTTATTCCTTTTTAGGGAGAGATTTCTTTTTTTTGCTTATCGTTTAGCGAATTCGCTTGCTCATGCTCTAGCTTAAACAATCAGTTCTCCTTTGAGTATTGGGGTTCGACACTGCTCCCCCTGATTATATAATTGACATTTTACGTAATGATTAATATATGGATAAAGCTATTTGTATCCCAAACTTTTGTAGCTCATTTGTACACCGCATGTTTGTGTTGGTGTAAAACTAATTTTTGTTAATGCACCAACATTTTGTTTCCGTGTAAATTTTAATTAACGTACCAATACTTGTGTGAGTGTAAACCTTCAAAATGTTTGATGTACACTAGCATTGCTCTTAATATATTTGTCTTTCTTCAAAAAAAAAGTTGAGACTATGGATCGCTAGCGAGCTAGTCATCAAAAGGATAAGATTTAGGCAGTTCGTGGCCTCATGCCGTTTCATTCCTTAAGATAAAGCTCCCAAGATCATGCTCACCCTCTCCAAGCAAATCCCTCTGCCCCTCACACAGTTCCCCTCCAAACCTCACCCCAGCCCCTGCCTACCTTTCACACTAGCTACAATTAAGGCCGGTGCTTCCGGAGATGATCCGTCTCCGCGGGCTCCACCACAGAGCCCGGTTGGGATGCGGTTCCGGACAGGGCCCAGAAAACGAAGACAGATGCAGCAGGAGGTCGGTTCAGGCGACGGAGGAGCGGCGATGAGAGCAAAAACGCCGCCACCGGCTAAGGATCGGGAATCGATGAGCCTTGGGGAGAAAGTGGCGGAGATTTACATGGGAGAGAAGGGTGTTCTCTTCTGGCTTAACAAATTCGCTTACGCTTCCATCTACATCGTCATCGGAGCATGGATAGTGTTTCGGTTCGTCGGCCCCGCCCTCAATCTGTATCAGTTGGAGGTGCCTCCCTTGGCTCCAGAATCCATGATTAAGGGTTCATAATAGTAAGCTCGATCAATTTCGGGCAGGTTTGTAAATTATACTTCCCATTAGCCTTTTTATCTCTTCTCATTCCATTTTTTACCATTAAAATACCATAACTACCCTCACTTACTTAATTTATTACACCTCACCCACTTCATTTAATATACTCCATCTATTTTCATTTAGGGTATTTCAACTATCAAAGATTTTAGGCGGACTGAGGAGTAACAGAGATTCATCGCTGGGGGGGACAATTTCTTGGAATGTTGATCCAAAATGTCATTTGTTGATCCAAATTGAAATTGAGATTAATTTGTAGTCTTTAAAACCATGTGTAATTTGTTGGTCCAATTTGGCTACACATATTGTTCCATGAATGCCATAAGTTCTCGTATCCAACTATATACTCCTCCTAATGGCATTCTTTTATTACGAATTAAATATATTTTAAAATAATTAAATATTATAAAAAATTTATATTTCAATACAACATTATAAAATAAACCCAAATTTATTTAATTTACGTTATAACTAGATATTTTTTTCTATAATTAGTGATCAAAGAGTGCTACACTTTTGCTTCATCATCCTTCATAGGTGATTATTGATGAATGCCATAAATTCTCCAGAATCCAAGTTAAACATTCTAAAGTTTATTTTTGTTGTTCGTGCATATGGAGTATATGGAATTGAACTTCCCCATTAGCAATTAATGCGGTTTGGAATTCTCAAGAGTTTACCGAAAAAGAATTAAAAGGTCCAATTAGTACTATGATTGGAAATTGAATTCTATGAAATTGATTTGGATGGAATTCAATTCTCCAATTCCAATTCATTTTTGGCAAAATCAATTCCAACTACACATATTTTTTTGCTACTAAACAGAAAAATTGAAATTGTTGTTTCCAAATCCAATTTTATAGTTTGAATCTCGTATACCAAATGAAGCCTAAAGTTTTGTTTGGCTTCCCAATACTTAAAGCACTGGTAACACCTGTGAAGCCCTAGGACTTAAAAACTTCTATCTGTGCCACAATAGCTTTAACTTACTTCATAGTTTCACTGAAAATGGTTTGAAGTCCTGAGGTTCAAATTGGGGCTTCAAACCTTTATTTTTTACATTTTTAATACACAACTTCTAAAACTAAATTAAACAAAACTTCATTTTAATTAAATTTAAATGGCAATAATTCCTTAAAATAAAAAAAATTACAATCAATAAAAAAAGAATATTTAATAAAAATACATTAATAAAAAAATAAGGCAAATTATATTTGACCTTTATCTCTTTTTGTTTCTCCCGTAATGCATATGTTTGAAACTCAATAACGTATCAAGCTCGGTTTCTATTATTTCGATAGGGGTGGTGATATACCTGAGCCCAACCCTATCATGCCCTCTCCCGCGTCCCACACCCTCATAGAAACCAAAAGACTTATATTCAAACTTCATGATCCATTTTAGTTTGAATTCAAAGGTCCTAAAACTCGAAAGGCCAAAATGACCATCGTTTTGACCCGAGGGTTCCGCTGGCCAACCCCCAACTTCGTCCAACTCAACCCCAAACATCCAAAAGTATTTTATTAACTTTTTATATCCAAAATAAAGTTTTTTCGTTCCTTTTTACAGCCTTGAACAAATTTTAGGACTTATAGGACAAAACAAAAACTGTGTTTTGTTTTATTCCATTATTATCCCTTCATAGAATGAGGCCTTTCCCCACTCTTTCCTACACCTTACCCACAAAATATCCTCCAAAAAAACAGGCCATATCAACCCCAATCCAAAGCAAAACATGATCCACACAATAAAATCAAATCAGGAGCCATTGAATAGTTATGTCTTTTGTCCTGTTGTGCAATATAATCAAAGACATGGTCCCATCACCTCCCTTTGTCCCTAGGCCAAATTCTGTTGAATATAAGTGAGCCCTAGAGGCCAACTTATGATTCCATATTTGCGATATCAAGAACAATAGGCCTTAAAGATTGTTTAAGTCGTTTCGTGTGATTTAAACATAGCTTTAGTCCATAGAGTAGGCGCTCTAGTAACATAGATGAGAACTACGACGTTCTGATTATGAGGCTGTTACAAAAATAGAGGATACGTCTAAAATATCCTTAGTCGAATATTATGACAATGCAGACATCATAATATATCAAGACTAATACGTATGAGATGAGATAGCTGTGTCTCATACGCTATAGATAAAGTGTTATCTGAATCTATACGTAGGCAAACATATTGGATATATTGCTAGATTGACCCGCTGTGAGAATAATATATGGGTTTAAGTTAAAGTGTTAATATTATTCTCATGCAACCATTAGTATAACTATCCTTCGACTTGAAGTCATTACGATCTTTGATAAGTTGCGTTGCATACTTTGAAGCATGATTTATGCCATTTGAAATATTGGTGGATGTACAATTATGTTTTGGGTATGCAATGAAACTTACATGAAGATGTGAATGATGTAGATAGAATTTATCCGTTCTTTAAATGCAGTGTAATATCTTAGGGCCCACTGATTGATGTGACTTGGGAAGTGCATGACCATGCCCAAATAAATACTCCCTCCGTCCCAAAAAGATTTACACGTTTCAAAAAAATTGTGTCCCACAATCCCTTATCCATTTCTATTAAAAAACCACTCTTTCAAACCCTACCTATCACATCATACCTTTTTCCTAATAATCTACACATCACATCCTACTTTTACCCATCACATCAATGGTATTTTTGGAAAGTCAACACAAAATTATCCGTCTCTTAATTTCAACTTTAGTCAAAATGAGTAGCACTTTATGGGACGGAGGGATTATGTTATTTGAATCCCACAAGTCAATCAAAGAATCTGAAAATCATTGATTTAACTCTAACAATGTGACACACCCCATACCTTGTATTAAATCAAGATATTATTAGTGATAAAGGGATAAGGATTATACAAATAAGATGTGTCGTTGGAGGAATTGTTCCAAGAGCTTTATATTTATAATTTGGGGGTGATAATGTGTTGTTAGATATTGCTTATCATTTATAGTATTTAATAAATACTATGACCAATTTATAGGTACCTAGAATAGGGTCACACACATAGAACGTATGGAAAGCGTAGAATATTTAAGTGGAGTAAAGTTGCGTTTATATATTGTGTATATTATATTGTGTGACAATATGATTAGATATACAAACATATATAAATAAATGTTTATATTTGGACATTTTAATTATATGATAATTATATATATATATATATATATATACATATATATATATAAAGAGATTTTTATTAAATGAGAAAGTGAAGTACAAAGAGAAGAAAATGCAAGACGAGAAAGTTTTGAATGAGGGCGCAAGGCCCAGTACATAAAGCAAAGATAAAACTTAAATGGCACCACGGCCATGCCTTCCGCGACATCTCCCTTGAGGGTTCTGTCCACGCGGTCCATGGGGCGCCCTTCCACTTCTTGTTTGAATTGTCATATCAGGGGCTTCTTTCTTGTTAGCTTTTTTAGAGCGTACAAGGGTTAAGTCATCTTCAAGATGCTCCTCAAGTAGTGGATCATCATCTGGGATATCCTCAAGTGGGTCGAACTGGTGAGTTGTAGGGGCCGAGGAGCATCCAGTAGGTATACACTTTGATACAGTGCTAGTCTGCGTGAAGTTTTGCTCCTTAGCATTCAATTTTTAGTGTGCGAGCTTGAGTTGCATGATTTGTTCTTTGAAGGGGAGTTTGGCGAAGATCGTCATTCCGTCATTAGCTCTAGCTTTGGCTCGTTCCTCTTCAACTTCTCTGAAAACAGAAAAAGTAGAAATCTTCGGCTTTAGGCTAGCCTTGGGTTTGGTATCATTTAAGATTTCATTAGAACTTGAGATTGGAACTTGATTTCCATTAGTGACGGGGATAGTAGTGACCTGGACATCAAGATTAATAGTACTCAACTGAACAGGAGTATCAGGGGCAGTGGATACATGGACAGCTTCAGTGTATTTGTTAGGATAAGTAGTGACAGGATCAGATTTTCGCTCATCATTTCCAAGTGGGGCAAGGCTAGTGGGGGGTATTAGGTTCCCTGGTAGTCTGTGTGTGGAACCATGGAAGTCAAAATCATCTTTGTTTTCATTATGATTGGCAGAATCAGCAGCCAGGGAGCCAAATTTTGGATCCGAATTAAGGTCATCATTTCCAAGTGTAACATGGTCAGGGCAATCCTTGTATTGTTGAGTGCCATCCGAGGACTCATTGAGAGTCTCGTGTGCTCTTGATAAGTCGGGTTTGGTTTGGTTCTTTTTATTCTTTTTTAGGCATTTTTAATGTTTCTGGCGTTTTATTTTTAGTTGTTTAGCTTAGGTTTACAATCTTTTAATTTTGTTTTAAAAATAGTAGCTTTTTGATCATTTTTTTACATTTTATTATTTTCTTCATTTTATTTTGTTTTTTCTAACCCAAAATTATCAGATATCTTATTATTTGGAGAAAAAGTGTAGCAAAAGACTAAATTGAAGCTCAAGTTTGAAAAGAAGAGATCAAATTTGGGTCGGAGCCCAAACCTAACATTAAAGAATCAGCCCAGCACATCTCTCTCCCCAATTTGATTTCATGTCTACGCACAAAGAAAAAAAGAACGGAGAATAGAAACTTGTGTTTCATGTTCGACTTCGTCAACGGATCGAAGGACCATCTTCTTCAATGCAACGATTACCAACGTCTCTCCATTCAATTCGCCCACACGCTCCAACGGTAAAAATTTGAAGGTCCTTTGTCAATTTTTATTTTTTTCCTCGAATTCTATGTAAAAGTTTGCTTTTTGTTCCATTTTCACACTTTTTTTTGTTTGTTAGTTTGTTCAAAAAAATTCCAAAAATGGTTGGTGTTCTTTTATGGGTTTTTTATATGTTTATATTAAATCCCTTATGAATGAGAATGGATTCACACTAGTTTCTTCAATTATTGCACAAGTTGATGTTGAATTGGTTGAATTGTATAATTTGATTTCATAAGTAGGTTGGTATGTGGAATTCGGTTTTTGTTGAAGCTATTTTAGCTCCATAAGGTAGTTAAATGATTTCCGAATTCATATGTGATTCTTTGTCGTGCCTTGTGTTTGTTGATTTTAAGAAATTTGGACTTCTTAGCCCCATAAGTTGATTCATTTTCCTTAGAATTCGTTATGGAGTAATTTTGTTATGTTATGTGTTTGTTTTCCATTTTCTTTAAATTGAGATTTTTAAGTGCAATAAACAATTCTTGATTTATTAAAAATATGTTGTGTTTATCTATGTAAATAGAAAAAACGTCATTGATTTGAAAAGTTCATCGAAATCTGTGAAATGTGCTCATCATTAGGAGAAAAAGTTTATTTAAGTGCATAAGGTATTGGCGGTTTGTGAATAGATTATGCATGAGAGTTAGAATGAAAAAAATCGCTCTTTTATAAACTTTTTCTATAGTGGAAGTATGTTTTTATGCTTGATTGGTGAGTTGGGGTTCTAAGGTATATTTCAAAACGGGCCTTTGAATTGCTTGACTCCGGGCCGTGTGGAGAGTTGACAATCCTCCATATCGTGGTTAAGGAAATGAATCGACTCGGCCTTTGATTGATTTTTTCTATTTTTAAGTGCGTAAGTTACGTAATATATTGTCTGCGTGCCTATTATATGTGTAATGTTCGATTGTGTTCGTTCTTTTTTTTATATTTTGTTTCGGGTTCTTGGCGGTGTTTTTTGGGTTAACTTTGTTGGAGGAGATGATTATCTTTAGAGCTTGTTTTCCCCCATTTTATCAAAAAACCAAAAAAATAAGAAAATATAAAACCAAAAATACATTTACTTTTTATTCAAACCCCCTCCCTTTGTATTATATAAATATAAGTTTTTATACTTTATTTACTTTTATATACTTAAGTATGTTTTTTTTATGTTTATAAGTTATAGTATAAGTTCTTTGTTTGTATAAGTTATTTATAAGTTCTTATCTTTATTTAGTTATAAGTTTTATTATAAGTTTTATCATACGTGTAGTAGTTAGTTTTGTTTTTATTTAGTGACAACGTGTTTGAATGCTAAATTGGTTTTAAAAAGTACAAACTTTCTCCGTGGGATCGACCCTTACTTGCCTTAGCTATAGTTTTTATTTGATTATATTTTGGGGATTAGTTAAGAATATTTTATAAATTTTTAATTTGTTTTGGACGACAAGTCCTCAACAGCTCTCAACGACATATCTTTCTGGGTGATTCTGTCTGCATAAGTAGAGCTAGAGCCATTCAAAGGAACATTGACACAAGTGGTGTTAACCATTGAAGAAGGAGGTACAGAAGACTTAAAAACTAAGTCCCCTCCCTTATCCTCTTCGTGATTCAACCTCAAGTCTCTTCTAATCCATCGAGTGGCTTTTCCGGCCTTCTTGCAAGTTGTATGCCCAAACGTTTTACAACGTTTGCAGAAGTCAGGGAGGTCTTCGTAGTTGACAGGTTGGAGAAAGGATAGGCTGCCAAGGTGAATCCAAACAGCTCTTGGCAGTTCCTTTGTCAAGTCTAATTCAATGCACAAATGTGCCACAGATGGGCGAGACAACATCAAGGTGGCATTGTCCATTTTCAGAGGAGTGCCAATTAAATTGCCAATGGAGAACAAAGCATTTGGTTCGAAAAGATGGATTGGGAGGCCAGCAAAGCCAATCCAAACTGGGGTGAGTGGAGAATCCACAGTTGGATCGAAATCGTTTGTCCATCTGAAGACCTTCACTTGAAACCCAAAAATTTTCCAGATCTTACGCAATAGACAACGAAGAACGTCCTTTTCCTCAGAGAAAGATAACAAATATGTGTGTCATCAAGTAGAGTTACCTTAGGAGAGCTACTGAAGCCAATCTTTTCAATGGATGCACGGATGGAGCTTAACGAGGGACGACCTTTTGGAAATTTTCCAACGAGAGTTTGCCAGAATTTGGAGCATAGGGACGCGACTTCATTATCGGAAAAGGTAACACTGGGCAATCCTTTATATCTCGACGAGGATTTCAAACCCCTGGAAGCCAAAGAATCGAGGAAAAATTGGGAGGACATAGCTCGAGGATGGCAGTTACCCGAGACGCCATGACGATGGTCAAATCGGCAAAGCCCTATATCTAGAGAGAGGATGGAGCATATATATATATATATATATATATATATATATATATATATATATATATATATATATATATATATTGTAACAACCTAATCCGTCCAGGTCTGCAGCCCCTTTCGGACTAAAGTATTAACTTGGTAATCGTAAAATTTAAAACATTTCAAACACTTTTATTTATCACAATAATATTTTTCATATTATAAACAGTACGGAGTTTTCAATATTGTGGAACCTTAACAATCATAATCACAAACATAATTTATTTATGTTCTTTAATTCAAAACCATCACATCCATTTCGACAATCTCGCCTCCGTCTTCCTCCAGGATCACGTCACTTCATTAACCTGACTTGCGTGTAGCAAATAAAACATACTACACGCTCAGCGTTGAAGCTGAGTAAGCATATGTAATGCATTGAACATCCATATAAATTGAATCAAAATCCATAATCAAATCATTTGATATCATGCACATAATGTTCAGTTCAGATAATCAATAATTATTAAAAATTATTCATAATTCATTATTCAACATTTATATTCACATTCAATGTTCATCAGTCATTCATAATAATTGCAATATTCAATTCAATATTCATCATTCAATATTTACTCATATTCAATATTCAATATTCAATATTCAACATTCAACAATATTCTTAAACTATTCTTAGTCTAAGGCCAATTACTTTAATATTTGTCAATCCTTAAACGAATTCTAGTTTAAATAATTAAACTATATTCTAGTATAAAATATTCCTAAATAATCCTTAAGTTAGGTCTTGTTTAAGATGAAAGAGTTTTGAAAATCTTAAACTTACCTTCACTTAAGGCCAACCAAATACCGACAGCGTAGTGTTCATTGTTGAGTGGGTGGTACCCCCAAACGAGTAGGTACTCAAGTTTGGTTCATGGATCCCGTACGTACGTTTTAACCCTAGCCACCGGGGTTCATACCCGCAAGGCCTAACGTAAATAGGTATATCTTAGAGGTCTTCTAGATATCTTTCAAATTAACATTGATATAGGTATATCTTAGAGGTCTTCTAGATACTGTTAGACAAATGTGCAACTCTAGAGGGGGGGGGGGTGAATAGAGTTGTTTTCAAGAATGTGCGTTTNTCGTAAAAATTATCGCAGGAATAAGTAAAGAGAGTAAGGGAAAGAAGAACACCGGGATTTATACTGGTTCACCACCTCGTGGCTAGTCCAGTCCTCCGAGAGACTCTCTCGAAAGTCCTACTAATCTTCAAGCTTCAACGGGTGCTTGAAAAACCAGTACAACTTGAGAACTTGAATCACACAAGCCTCACTTTCTTACAACAACAAGACTTGAGTCACACAAGTCTTAAGAACAACACTCAAATGAGATTGAGTTTACAACACAAGAATGAAAGCTCACACAATTGAGCAAAGTAGTGTTGAAAATTTAAGCTCTATGGATGACAACTTCTATAGCACTCAAAAAAATATTTTTAACTCTCAAAAATAATATTTTGATGAGGAAGATGAAGCAAAGGATGAATAGCTCAAAGAAATATTTTGGAGTGCAAGAGGTGTGTGTTGAAATGAAGGAAAATAAGGGATTAAATAGGCTGAGGAAAATAAAGCCGTTGAAGAAAGCTGATGTTCTGTACTAGAGAGAATTAATCGATTAAATTAGGAATTTTAATCGATTAAAGTGTACAGAAGCGAAAAGCCTGAAAAGAAAACTGAGTCATAATCGATTAAATGAAGACAAATAATCGATTAGGAGGTTCGGTACAAACTAATCGATTAAAGGAAGAAAAATAATCGATTATTGATCAAGGTTGAGCAGCCCAACGAAAGGCTTAAAAAATCGATTAAATTGAAGAAATAAATCGATTAGGAGGTTCTGTCCAAGCTAATCGATTTTTTTAATAGAGAAAATCGATTAAGAATTCAAACCCTGAGAAATTGCGCTGGATCTAATCGATTATTTTAAAGGATATAATCGATTAAAATGAAAATAGTGCGCAAACACAAAGGGCCCAAGCCAAGCGCGATTGGAAGCCCTTTGGCTTCTAATTCCTTGTTTGAGACAGCGAGAATAAAGAAGCGCTCCTCAAACAAATAATATCCTTATTCAATGAATTTGAATAGGGGAGAAAAAGTGAGTCCAAAAATTATTTTGTGTGTCAAACGATGTATACGAAAAATATTTAAAGTATGTTTTTCTCACCAAAGAAAATTGTGTAACTTTAAAAAAAATGTTTTAAAGAAATTTTGACACACTTATTTTGAAACTGACTTACTAAAATATTTTAGACAGAGAAAAAGTGATTTTTCAACTGACTCTAAAATATTTTTTATCCCTCAGAAATTAAATTGTTTTGTGCAAAAGATATTGTCATCCTTACAAGAATCCTAGACTCAATAAAAAATTAAAAAGTCTTCGGAGTCTTCACATCACTTCAAAAAACTGCGTGGGGGGAGCGTCGATTTTTATCCCGTAACATTCTTGATACGCCTCTTTTCTTTTCTTGGTACGAAAAGTAAATTTTCGATCATCGTTTGAATTTCATCATCCTGTTTGTCATTTATCAAAACAAAAATATTCCAGAAAATAATAAAGGGGTTTGAACTCATGTCCAACAGATACCCTTAACAATACATATTATTTTTACAATCATCAATATATTCATTATGATTTATTCATTCAAATTATCATTTTTAATCAGAATATTCATCAAGATTTAATCATCATAATCATCAATCAATAATCATTACCATAATCATCAATCAACATAATATTCAATAACAATTAGCGGCCTAGCTTCGGGTGTTAAAACCCTAACTTACCGTCATGCATCACATAACATTTTTATTTGTTAAAAACATCATTTTTTATGGTAAATCATTTTTACAATGATCATAATCAATTAGTGGATTTTAGAGCATATATTTTTAGAATATTTTCGGAACAGGATCTAAACTTGAGAAAAATCAATTTTTATTTTTAAAATAATCAATTAATACCTAAAAATCGATTTTTATATTTAAAATAATCCATTAATAGCTAAAAATCGATTTTTATATTTTAAATAATCAATTAATTGCTAAAAATCGATTTTTATATTTTAAATAATCAATTAATTGCTACAAATCAATTTTTAGTTTTACAATAATCGATTAATACTTTTTAAATCGATTTTTATGATTAATATAATCGATTATTTTTTTCTTTCATATATACTGCCTTCGAACTCCTCTTCTGAACACAGTTCTAATCGATTCTTAGGAAGGAAATAATTGATTTTCGGCTACTGTTCATCATCTTCTTCCTCTGGTGAGCTTTGAGTATTTTCATTTTTAATCACCAAACTTCAATTATATTATATAGAAATATTTTCTAAGGTTCATAGATCATTTTGGAATCATTAATTCATAGTTTTAACATCAATTTCATGGTTTATGATTCTTGGTTTCTCAAACATGTCAATTACAAAAATCAACCAAACGACCGTTTATGAACCTAGAAACAATCGATACGAACATTCTAGTCACTAGATATATCTACGGGCTTACCTCGAAGGTAAATGAAGCTTTCGAAGTTTTTCCGGCAAAACTTCCGGCGACAATTGCTTCCAACTCCGGCGACCTCTCACCAAGATGACAGCACCACTGCACTCCTCTCTCAACAAGGAAAAGAATAGAATGTAATTTTGTAAGAAATGGTGAAGAATGGAGGGAGTTATGGTAGCCTTTTATAGGAGAAGGAAAAGGAAGAAGACACAGGTTGATGACCTCTCCTTCGACTGTTTCGTCGGCTGAGTGGAGCGGGCTGCTATTTTCTCCGATTTTAAACGTAAGTCCCTGATTGGGACTAATTTGGTCCCAGTCGGAGAATCAAACCCCCTCCAACAACCACCACACTATTTCTGATCTAGAACTTCTTCAAGGCCTAATGACAGAAGTCACTGAAATATGCAAACAAGGTATGAAAAGGGATTACCTCTCACATGATGACTCCCACATTTCCAGCAAAAACTTTGACTACAATGTGGGATATCTCAGTGAAGGAGAACATAGAACCAAGAAACCATCTTCCAACCATGTTTTCATTCCTCCCCAGGAACTAGAGCACCTTCAAACCACAGAGCCAGATCACCTTCACACCACAGAGACACAGCGTCATACTGAACCATCATCTTCAAACACCCCCCCCAGAACCTACAGCAAAAGGACACAAAAATGATAAAGCAGATATGAATGAATCCTACAACACTACTGTCAGGAAATCAATGAGGCTCCAGCTTAAGCATTCATCAGTCAATCACACCAAAGATAATTCTCAATGAACTGTCTCATATGGAACACATGTGGCATAACCTCTAAATGTGAGAGGTTATCTTTTCTCATTAACAAACACAAAATCTCTATCCTAGCAATCATTGAACCTAAAGCCTCTTCCTCTAAAGTAACCAGTTTCCAGTTAGATCTTGGTTTCTCCAACTCTATAGTGAACTCTTCCAATAGAATTTGGATCATGTGGAAGCAGGAGGACTTAAACTACATCTCCCACACAGACATGAGTCAGATCACCAATATTCTTTTCTTCAACAAAAAAGCCAGCAAGGATTTTCTCTTCTCAGCTATCTATGGCAAACACACCAAAGAAGAAAGGAAAGATCTCTGGGAAGCTATTAAGACCTGTAGCCATAACTACCATTGTGATTGGATACTAGAAGGAGACTTCAATGCTATCTCCTCTATAGATCACCACAAAGGTAATAGTACTCCATGCCTCCATAGCATCCAGGACTTTGATGATTGTGTTATGGATTGTGGTCTTCACTCCCCACCCTACTCTGGTTCTCCTTTCACTTGGACAGGCACTAGGTCTCTAGGTAGATTGTAGAAAAGACTTGACAGAGTCTTTATTAACAGCTATTGTCTCAACAGTTTTGAAGACATTACCTCTCAACACCTTCCTAGAGGCACTTCTGATCAGTGCCCCATCTTATTAATAGCCTCTAACCCTATTTTCACTGGCCCTAGACCTTTCAGGTATATCAACTGTTGGTCTAAGAATCACACCTTCATAAAAGTCCTTGAAGGAAACTGGGGAAAATACTGTGGGGGAGGAATGAAAGGACTCATGGATAAACATAGTAAGCTCTCAAAGCTTCTCCAGCATTGGAACAAAACAACTTTTGACAACATCACTTCTACAGTTGAGGCTCTGGAAAAAGATCTCCGACAAGCAGAACAGGAATTTGATGCTAATCATACCCCAAACAATAGAGCTTTCATGAATGAAAAAAGGGCCAACCTAATTCATGCAACTAAGAATGAATTTTCATTTTGGAAGCAAAAAGCAGGCATCAAATGGCTCAAAGAGGGTGACTGTAACTCCTCTTTCTTTCATGCCAAAATCAAGGAAAAAAGGATCCATCAAAAAATCCATAGAATCAAAGATTCTAATGGCAACTGGTTAGAGAACACCAATGATATCCAACATGAGGCAACTAACTTTTTCAAGGCCCTCTTCTCCAATCCCATTTGTGAGGGCATGAACAAGTTCCTGGACAATATCCCTCTCCTAGTGGATGACTCAATAAACACTACTCTTACCAAACTCCCTACTGAGGAAGAAGTGAAAGAGGCAGTTTGGAGTCTTGATCTAGATAGCTCAGCTGGACCAGATGGGTTTACAGGAGACTTCTATAGACAAGGATGGGAAACTATCAAGGAAGATGTGATCAAGGCTGTCGAGGAATTTTTTCTGGGAATCCCTATTCCCAAATCCATGGGGAAAACCACCATCATCCTTATTCCTAAAAAAGAAAACCCCTCCTCCTTTGATGAATATAGACCCATTTGCCTCTCCAATTTCATAGCCAAAATTAACACTAAAATTCTGGCTCTGAGACTGGGACTTTTCCTTCCTAACCTTATTTCTTCTGAACAAGGGGGGTTCATCAAAGGCAGACAGATTCATGACCAGATCCTGATTGCTCAAGAATTGATCCATGGAATCAACTACAAATCAAGAGGAGAAAATATTGCCATTAAGCTGGACATCTCCAAAGCCTTTGACAGAGTCTCTTGGGAATTTTTGGTCATGGTTCTTGAAAAGTTTGGATTCAGTGACAGATTTAATACCCTAATCCTTAACAACCTTAAATACACCTATCACTCTATCCTTATCAATGGTTACCCCTGCAAACCTTTCCAACCCCAAAGAGGACTAAAACAAGGTGACCCCTTATCTCCTCTCCTTTTTATCCTAGCAGCTGAAAGTTTCAGCAGAACCCTCAAAGTGGACACCAACAATGGGAATTTGAAAAGCTACAACATGGGCAGACACCTACTACCCATATCCCATCTTGCTTTTGCTGATGATTTGATTCTTTTCAGTAATGGTTCAATTAGCAATCTACAGAAACTGGCAAAATTCCTAAAACATTATGAGGTGGCTTCTGGACAAGCTATCAACTTATAAAAAAGTTTCTTTTACACACTTGACAAGACACCCACAGCCCAAGCCTCTAAGATGGGGAAAATCCTAAACATGCAGAGAGGTTTCTTTCCATTTAAATACCTGGGCACTCAAATCCACAGAGGAATCAACAGGAAAAACTACTGTGGGGACATTCTTGAACACTTTGATCAGAAACTCCAAGGATGGACTAAGCACCTGCTCTCCCAAAGTGGAAGACTTATCCTAATCAAACATGTTTTGAGTTCCATTCCTCTACATATCCTTGGAACCACCAAACTCCCTAAAAGTGTCACTACATGCCTCAACAGAAAAATTGCCAATTTCTTCTAGGGTTCTAAAGGAGACAACCAAAAATATCACTGGGCAACATGGAAGGACATCTGCAACCCTAAAGAGGAAGGAGGACTGGGCATTTACAATCTGGATACCCTTCAAGACTCCTATGGATTGAAAATGTGGTAGAGTTACACTCACAAGAACTCCTTTTGGGCAAATTTCATCCACAAAAGATATCCCAAGGGATTCAATTCCCCACCCAAACCCACTGACTTCCCCATTTGGAAAAGGCTCCACCATATCAATGATACTGCCTATAACCTATTCCACCTAAACCAACACAACACCATTTGCTGGAACGAGGGCCACCCAGGCTTCAGTATAAAGAGAGCATACAATGATTTGAGAGAGAAAAAACCCCTGACAAATTCCTTGTCAACACCTGGAATATTTATCAATATCCTAAAGTATCTCTCTTCTTATGGAAACTTTATAAAAACATCCTTCCTCTCCCTAATACACTAACACGTTTTGGCCAGAGCTTGCCCTCTATTTGTTTTCTTTGCAGGGATAATCAAGAAGAAGCAAATCATATCATGAAGCAATGCAGTTACAGCAACCAAATATGGACCTACTTTGAACAGATTTTCAACATCCCTCACAACACAACACATGGAATACGCGCCTACCTTATGACGTGGTGGAGAAACACAGACATACCTGGAACCTGCAGAGTGTTCAAACAATGTGCCCCAGGGATCATCACATATGAAATCTGGAAAGAAAGATATCGAAGAGTATACCAACAAGAATAAAAAACAGCAGCACAAATTATTCAAATGATTTGGCGAAAACTAATTGAATGGATACTAGGAAAAGGAAAAGGAAGGCTCCCAAGTCAAATTGAATGCCCAATCAGATTACTTACCAGGATCAAAACTTTCAAATGGACTGGAGAGAGCACCACCCTCAACACGGATGTGTCAGTTGCCGGAGATTCAATGGTTGGCGCCGCTATTCTACGAACAAAGGAAGGAGAATTTCTTGGTGCAATGAGCACCCATTTGCAAACGCAGAACTCCTCTGAAGATGGTGAGATGGAAGCAGCTATCGTGGGCCTTAATTGGGCCATCTCAATCCAACATGGACCCATTGACTTGCACTTGGACTCCAAAAATGCAATCCGGAGAATCAATGACAGAAATAACCAACAAGAAAGAGCAATCCAACAAATTCTAGAGCAAATCCAAGGCAATGCTAGACACATCTATCGAGAAGCAAATACTGCAGCCCATAACCTTGCCAAATTTGCCCAAAAAATAATTATTTCCAATCATACACTTCTTTCAAATTGCTCCCAAAAACCTGTTAAAGGAGCAATTCTTTGTGATCAAACTTGTACCCTTCTTCGTTTTAATTAATAAAATTTCTTCTTTATATATATATATATATATATATATATAGATTTTGGTTCATATGAGAATGCGATCTTATTAAAGAAATAAGAATGAATCCGGTGCTTTAGATTGTGAGATCTAAGGGTCAAGATTGCATCAAAATTAGGTGCACTAAAATGGTTTGAAAATGCACCATGTCGTAATGCACCAAAATCCCTTGAAAATGCACTATCTCAAAATCTGAGTGCAGGATGCAATCTGAAATCTGAGCCGCACCATGCATCAGATCCAAAGACTAGATTTTATTCTTATTTCTTTGACCAAGGTGCATTCTCAGCTGAACCGGCCCCTAAATATATATATATATATATATATATATATATATATATATATATATATAGAAAAAATGCCTTCTCTCTCCTCTCTCCCTCCTCCAGCCCCTCCTTGAACCTCCAGCAATCATCACGGCCACCTCCTCCCAAACCCTACACCATCTCATAACCATGCCTCCAACAACACCTCGAAACGCAGCACCAAAGCCAGAAACGAAGGTCTCACTCCCTTGCCGGCGTTCTCCTCTATCCCTCCAGCAAGGAATGATGTCAAGCGCTCTTTTGCTGATGTCATTGGATCCTCAACTTCCATTCCTCAGCCTCCCATCAACTCCAGGCCCATTACCTAGAACAAAGGTTTCCCGGCGATCTCTTTCTCACCGGCAGAGTTTAAAGCTCTCTCTGCACCCTATGAATTCTCCCTTGTAGGAAGATTCCCAAAGTCTAGGCCCCCACTTACAGTTATCAAACAGGTACTTGAACGAATTGGGTTCAAGCACAGCTATACCGTCGGGGTACTGGCACCATCACACGTCCTCCTTACTTTCCACAATGCGGAAGACTACCAGAGGTGCTTCTCTAAACGTCTCTGGCAAATTCAAGGCTGCCCCATGCATGTCTTCAAATGGAGTCCAGACTTTCATTGTGATGAAGAGAGTCCAATCTTTCCCATTTGGATTTCCCTAGAACATCTTCCTGTCCACCTCCACGATCCGGTTGCTCTTCAAGCCATTGCTAAAATCTTTGGAAAACCTCTCATGCTTGATGTAGCAACCTCCTCCAAAACCAGGCCCTCAGTTGCAAGGTTTTGTGTTGAACTTGATGTTTCCGGCGACCTGCGAGCAAAATTCTTCCTTGACAATGGAGGCAAAGGACTCTGGCAACCAGTTCACTACGAGCAGGTCCCTCTCTTCTGCACAGACTGCAGAAAAACAGGCCACAAGGCTGGAGAATGCCATCAAGCCAAAAACACCACTCCAAAAGCCACGCAGGATGCACCCAAAGCTGCTGCAGGTATTGTTCCCTCCAATATACCTCCAGCTAATACAGTCCAAAACCATCCCATCCCCACAACCACACAAATGAATCCATCTCCTACCCCAAACGATCCAACCACTTCAGTAGGTCCTCCTGGGGGGAAGCCAAAGCACACCTGATACAATGTATCCAAACGGAGGAATCCTTCTAGAGACAAAAAGCAAATGCCAAGTGGATCTCTCAAGGAGATGCTAACACCTCTTTATTCTATGCAGCATGCAGGGCAAGATGGCGCAGACAACACATCCATTCCATCCGTACCAGCCAAGGACACCAAGTCACAACTGAGAAGGAAATTCTTGAGGCTGGGGCTGACTATTTCCAGGACCTCTACAGTCCCCAGCCCACACATAATATGGAGCATATTCTCCACCACATCCCCCACACTATCCAAGCTAACCAAAATGACAAATTATGCCTTCTCCCGAACCCTGAAGAAATTAAGAATGCTGTGTGGCATTTGGACTCCAATAGCTGCGCAGGCCCGGACGGATTCAATGGCACCTTCTTCAGAGAATCATGGGACATTATCAACGAAGACGTAACCAGTGCTGTTCAGGAATTCTTCCTCGGAATAATACCCCCTAAGGCCATGAGGACATCCAACATTATCCTCATCCCCAAAAAAGAAGCCCCTGCATCTTTCAATGACTACCGCCCCATCAGTCTCACCAACTTCTCCTTCAAAATTATCACAAGAATCTTGGCCTCTAGGCTTACTTCTGTGCTTCCTGACATTATCTCCATTGCACAAGGAGGATTTGTTCCAGGGAAAGATATCCAAGATCACATTTTGCTCGCGAGAGAACTCATTCACCTCTTGGACAGGAAAACTGAGGGGGGCAATCTTGCCCTAAAGCTTGACATCACTAAGGCCTTTGACAAAATCTCATGGA